GAGTATAAATATTTAGATTATGGAGAGTATAGATTATTATTTATCGAGTATAAATATTTAGATTATAGAGAATATAGATTGTTATTTATAGAGTATAAATATTTAGATTATAGAGAGTATAGATTATTATTTATCGAGTATAAATATTTGGATTATAGAGAATATAGATTATTATTTATCGAGTACAAATATTGAGATTATAGAGAGTACAGATTATTATTTATAGAGTATAAATATTTAGAATTTAGAGAGTATAGATTGTTATTTCTAGAGTATAAATATTTAGATTATAGCGAGTATAGATCGTTATTTATAGAGTTTAAATATTTCAATTATAGAGAGTATAGATTGTTATTTATCGAGTATAAATATTTAGATTATAGAGAATATAGATTATAGAGAGCAGTGTAGGTGTGTCACTGGGTGAGAAATTGAGGGTTTGGGATTTTTAGTGAGCTGTGGATGGCAGCAAGATGGAGGGCACAGGGTGTCACCCTGGGTTTCTTCTCCATGCTGCTTCTTCCTCCTTCTCCATGGGTTTGGGTGGCATTTTGTAATTGGGCAGAAAAGCCCCCATTAGGATCATTTACTGGGTTAAAAGTGAAAACAATCCAGGTGCCAGTCCTTAATTGGACAGTTTAGTCCTAAAAGCCCCTGTAACAAGAGATGGTGGCCATTTTGTGCCCTGCTGCTGAACTCACAGCAGTGGGACTGTTTTACCGATAGGAAATAAATAAACACCTGAGTGTGCAGGTGAATTATTATGTCAGGTGCCTCCAATCCAGCCCCAGAGGGACCCACGGCTGGCTCTGGCACGCTGCTGGGCATGACTGTGCATTCGGGCTGTTCCCGATGGTGCCGTGACCTCCTGCAGCCCCAACGTCACCCGGGCCGGCTCTGGGCTCGCCTGCTATTTATTGACAGAGCCCTTGATAAAATATTCCATTTTTTCCCACGTGCTCCCTTGGAGCTCCCCTTCCAGCCAGGGGAGCAAAAATTTCCGTTTTGGCTTTGCTGCTGCTGCTGCTGGGATCTGGTTGTCCCAGCTTGCCCCGGTTTGTCCCAGCAGCACAAAGGGAGGGCTCAGCAGCGGAGCCCTGGCGGCTCCAGCACCTTTCCCCAGCCCCAGGGGTCACACCTGCCCCCAGCTCTGTCTGTTGTTCCTCTCTCCAGGGAAGGTTTGACCTGGGAGATAAAAAGGAACAAACCAGGCCAGGTTATGAGGAGCCCTTGTCCGGTTTTCCACTGGACTGGTTCCACGTCTTCCTCTTAACCAGAGCTCAGGAAGGTGTTAAAGGTGGTTGGGACAGGAGTTCCTGGGATGTGAGAGCCCAGACTCCCCCCTGTGTGAGCCAAGAGAGGCTCCTGCAGCCCAGAGTGCTCAGGCTGGGGGTCCCGGTGTCCTTCCTGCTCGTCCTCCATGGGTGGGAGAGGTTCTGCCAAAAGGGTGACAGGGATTGTCCCCTCCTCCCCTCCCCAGAGCTGCCCATCCCACCCCATCCCATCCCATTATCCCATCCCACCCCATCCCATCCTATTATACCATCCCACCCCATCCCATCCCATTATCCCATCCCATTATCCCATCCCACCCCATCCCATCCCATTATCCCATCCCATCCCATCCCATCCCATTATCCCATCCCATTATCCCATCCCATCCCATCCCATCGATCCCATTCCACCTCATCCCATTGATCCCACCCCACCCCATCCCACCCCATCCCACCCCATCCCATCCCACACCATCCCACCCCATCCCATCCCATCCCACCCCATCCCATCCCATCCCATCCCATTATCCCATCCCATTATCCCATCCCATCCCATCCCATCGATCCCATTCCACCTCATCCCATTGATCCCACCCCACCCCATCCCACCCCATCCCACCCCATCCCACCCCATCCCATCCCATCCCATCCCATCCCATCCCATCCCACCCCATCCCATCTCATTATCCCATCCCATTATCCCATCCCATCCCATTCATCCCATCCCATCCCATTCATCCCATCCCATCCCATTATCCCATCCCATCGATCCCATCCCATCCCACCCCATCCCATCCCACCCCACCCCATCCCATCCCATCCCATCCCATCCCATCCCACCCCATCCCATCCCATTATCCCATCCCATCCCATCCCATTATCCCATCCCATCCCACCCCATCCCATCTCATTATCCCATCCCATTATCCCACCCCATCCCATTCATCCCATCCCATCCCATTCATCCCATCCCATCCCATTATCCCATCCCATCGATCCCATCCCATCCCATCCCACCCCACCCCATCCCATCCCATCCCATCCCATCCCATCCCATCCCATCCCATCCCATCCCATCCCATCCCACCTCATCCCATTGATCCCATCCCATCCCATTGATCCCATCCCATTGATCCCATCCCATCCCATTATCCCATTATCCCATTATCCCATTATCCCATTATCCCATCCCAGGGCTCAGGATTGGACCCTCTGGGGTCAGGCTCCAGCCCCACGCAGCACCGGCTCTGCCCCACCAGGAGCTGCACCAGCCCTGGGAGAGGGGCCAAGGGCAGGAAATCCTGAGCAGGGCCCTGAGGAGCACAGGGAACGCTCCCAGGGCCTGTGGAACACAGGGAATGCTCCCAGGGAATGCTCCAGGGCCTTTGGAGCACAGGGAATGCTCCCAGGGAAGGTTCCCAGGGAATGCTCCAGGGCCTTTGGAGCACAGGGAATGCTCCCAGGGAATGCTCCCAGGGCCTGTGGAACACAGGGAATGCTCCAGGGCCTGTGGAGCACAGGGAATGCTCCCAGGGAATGCTCCCAGGGAATGCTCCCAGGGCCTGTGGAGCACAGGGAATGCTCCCAGGGCCTGTGGAACACAGGGAATGCTCCCAGGGAATGCTCCAGGGCCTGTGGAGCACAGGGAATGCTCCCAGGGAATGCTCCAGGGAATGCTCCAGGGCCTGTGGAGCACAGGGAATGCTCCCAGGGAATGCTCCAGGGCCCGTGGAGCACAGGGAACGCTCCCAGGGCCTGTGGAACACAGGGAATGCTCCCAGGGAATGCTCCAGGGCCTATGGAGCACAGGGAATGCTCCCAGGGAATGCTCCAGGGCCTGTGGAGCACAGGGAATGCTCCCAGGGAATGCTCCAGGGCCTGTGGAACACAGGGAATGCTCCCAGGGAATGCTCCCAGGAGCTGCAGAGGGCCACGGGTGGCAGCAGGGCCTATGGCACAAACCAGGTGTCCTTTGTGCGTGACAGCCACAGGCAATGGCCACAGTCCGACAGCTGTGCACAAATTCCAACAGCTGTGCCCAAAACCCAGCCAGCCTGCCCCAAATTCCAACCAGCTGTGCCCAAAATCCAATCCCTCTGCCCCAAATTCCAACCAGCTGTGCCCAAAATCCAGCCAGCCTGCCCCAAATTCCAACCAGCTGTGCCCAAAATCCAATCCCTCTGCCCCAAATTCCAACCAGCTGTGCCCAAAATCCAATCCCTCTGCCCCAGATTCCAACCAGCTGTCCTGTGCTGGTGTTCTCCTCGTGTCCTTCAGCCTGTGATGATGGTCCTGTGGTGTCCCTCAGCCCATGGTGGGGGTCCCCTGGTGTCCCTCAGTGGTGGCCTGTTCATGCCCTGTCCATGTTCTGTCCATGTTCTGTCCACGTTGTGTCCGTGTTCTGTCCGTGTTCTGTGTTCTGTCTGTGCCCTTTCCGTGTTCTGTCTGTGTTCTGTCCATGTTCTGTCCGTGTTCTGTCCATGCTCTGTCCGTGTTCTGTCCATGCTCTGTCCATGCTCTGTCCGTGTTCTGTCCATGCTCTGTCCGTGTTCTGTCCATGCTCTGTCCATGTTCTGTCCATGCTCTGTCCGTGTTCTGTCCATGCTCTGTCCATGCTCTGTCCATGTTCTGTCCATGTTGTGTCCGTGTTCTGTCCGTGTTCTGTCCGTGCCCTGTCAGTGCCCCCGAGGCGATTTTGGCCACCCCATTTCAGCCACCTCCAGCCTGTGAAAATCACCAATCACTTGTATTAAAAATTTTAACAGTTTAATAGTAATAAAATGGTTATAAAAATAGTAGTACAACTAGAGTAATAATAATTTGGACAATTAGGATTAGGACAATACAAGACAATAAAAACAAAGAGTTAGAGACAGTCCAGGTACCTCTTTCTGGGTAAAATAAGCCCCAAAAAGGACCCACGTTAACAGAGGATTAACCCTTAAAAGCAACAGCCTGTTGCATATTCATGCACCTCATCCATGATGCATAAATTCCATTCAAACACAGGATTCTGACTGGGCAGTGTCAGCTTCTTCCTCTGAATCCTAACAGCGCCTTCGAGGCAGGAAGAAGTTCCTTTCTTCTGATAATGGAGCAATAAATTCTCTTTCTCTGAAAGATTCAGGTGTCCTGTGGCTGCTGTCTCGCTGTGAGTTCTTTCTTTTTAAAAAGAGTATCCTACATAGCATCGTTTCTATTTTAACAATTTTTATAACCTAAAACTATATTTAACACACTACTTAAGAGAATTAATACAGCATTACTTTCTAACACAACACATATAATATTCATTTGAATATTTGCGAAAAGCCAGTGATAAAATACACGCATTTTTCACACTCGGGGGTCAGATCCGTGTTCACCCAGCGCCGATCCCGGGCTCCACGCTGACCTCTTTGGCTGTGGTGGTTTTTGACGACCGAAATTCGGTCTATGCGGACAAATTAATGAATCTTTGCTAAATTTCCTTCCAAGTTTGGCTCTCGGTTTGATCATTTATAACAACCTGCTGACACCTGTGGGCTCCAGGTGATGCTGCAGGTGAGGAGCTGCGGGCAGGGCAGTCAGAGCCCGGGGGAGCTCAGACACACAAACCCATCCCTCGGACCGACAGACGGACGGACGGAGCGGCAGCAGGACGCTTGCCACATCCACGGAGTCGCTTTGGCACGGGGCGGGCCGGGCAGCGGCAGCGCACGACAGCCCCGCAGCCCGGCCCCATCATCAAACGCGGCTGCAAACGGGCACGGACCCAGCGGGGCCCCCGGGCAGCGAGAGGGGAAGGGAGGCAGGGGAGACCCCCCGGGCCCGGCTGCTCCCGGCCCTGCGGAGCCAGCGCAGGGAAAGGAACGGGGGCTCCGGCTCTGCTGCTCCTGGAATGGTGGGACCATTGGGCTGGGGGCTCCTGCTGCTCCTGGAATGCTGGGACCATTGGGCTGGGGGCTCCTGATTCTCCTGGAATGGTGGCACCACCGTGCTGGGGGCTCCTGATTCTCCTGGAGTGCTGGGACCATTGGGCCAGGGGCTCTGGCTCTGCTGCTCCTGGAGTGCTGGGACCATTGGGCCAGGGGCTCTGGCTCTGCTGCTCCTGGAGTGCTGGGACCACCGTGCTGGGGGCTCCTGATTCTCCTGGAGTGCTGGGACCACCGTGCTGGGGGCTCCTGATTCTCCTGGAATGGTGGCACCACCGTGCTGGGGGTTCCTGATTCTCCTGGAGTGCTGGGACCATTGGGCTGGGGGCTCCTGATTCTCCTGGAGCATTGGGACCATTGGGCTGGGGGCTCCTGATTCTCCTGGAATGGTGGGACCATTGGGCTGGGGGCTCCTGCTGCTCCTGGAATGCTGGGACCATTGGGCTGGGGGCTCCTGATTCTCCTGGAATGGTGGCACCACCGTGCTGGGGGCTCCTGATTCTCCTGGAGTGCTGGGACCATTGGGCTGGGGGCTCCTGCTGCTCCTGGAATGCTGGGACCATTGGGCTGGGGGCTCCTGATTCTCCTGGAGTGCTGGGACCATTGGGCTGGGGGCTCCTGATTCTCCTGGAATGGTGGCACCACCGTGCTGGGGGTTCCTGATTCTCCTGGAATGGTGGCACCACCGTGCTGGGAGTTCCTGATTCTCCTGGAATGGTGGCACCACCGTGCTGGGAGTTCCTGATTCTCCTGGAGTGCTGGAACCATTGGGGTGGGGGCTCCTGCTGCTCCCAGAGCTGTGGTCCTGTTATGAGTGGAAGAAGAGTTGTCCATTTTTCAAAGGTTGCAGAGTTCACAAGCTAAGCCAATTGCTGCCAAGCTGGAGTTCTAACCGCTTGTTGTTAATAATTTCATGCTGTAATCCCCTGCTGTTAATGGTTTTCCTTTAATTACCTGCTGTTGGTGGTGAGAAATCCCCTTTGTCCAGCATCCCCCTGCTGCTTCCTGGGAAATGGCGCCCAGGACTGTGAGGAGGAGGTGACATCGGGGCTGGCAGGCGAATGAGGGAACCCCGCACCAAATCCCGCAGGAAAAACCCCTAAAACCAACGAGCCACCGCGGACTTGAGAGACTGAAGTGATGTCTGGAGGTGAGGAACAGAACCCGGTGTCCGCTGAGATCCTCTCTACCCCTCACCCTGAGCTCAGAGATGTCGGCTGGAAGGAAGAGCTCGAGTGTCAAACTCAGGACCCAGGAATCTCCTGCTGCTCTCGTGGGGATGGAGCCCCCGGCCCTGCCTGGAGATCAGAGGGCGCAGCTGCAATTTCCCTCCTCCTCCTCCTCCTCCTCCTCCTCCTCCTCCTCTGTGCCACTCCTGGGAGCAGTGGTGGCCTCTGTGTGTGTGTGACCCGTCGGGTCTCCCCACCCAAGCTGGTTTATAATGAAGGCATTCAAAAGGTGAAAGATCTCCTGCCCTGTTTATTCCAGGAGCGCTGGGCCGGGCTGGGGGGGTCCCACTGTGCCAGGCTGTGCCCCCCAACCCCAGGGCCTGCAGAGGTGCCAGGAGGGGAAAAACAGAGGGGCCTGAGAGGGGCTTGGGAGTGGCCATGGGCTCGGCCAGCTCAGGGCACGTTCAGGGCGATCCATAGCTGGGACCCTGTTAAATAATGAGGAGTCATTATAACCCCTGTTAAATAATGAGGAGTCATTATAACCCCTGTTAAATAATGAGGAGTCATTATAACCCTTGTTAAATAACAAGGAGTTATTATAACCCTTGCTAAATAATGAGAGTCATTATAACCCCTGTTAAATAATGAGAGTTATTATAACCCCTGTTAAATAACGAGGAGTCATTATAACCCTTGTTAAATAATGAGGAGTTATTATAACCCCTGTAAAATAATGAAGAGTCATTATAACCCCTGGAAAATAATGAAGAGTTATTATAGCCCCTGTTAAATAACGAGGAGTCATTATAACCCCCGTTAAATAATGAGGAGTCATTATAACCCCTGTTAAATAATGAGGAGTTATTATAACCCTTGTTAAATAACGGGGAGTCATTATAATCCCCATTAAATAACGAGGCATTATTATAACCCTTGTTAAATAACGAGGAGTTATTATAACTCCTGTTAAATAATGAGGAGTTATTATAACCCTCATTAAATAACACCAGGAGTTATTATACCCCCCGTTAAATAATGCAGGAGCTGCAGGGTGGCTGCACAGCCCTGTGGGGTCACCCCTGCTCACCCCAGGTGTGGGGTCACCCCTGCTCACCCCAGTGTGGGGTTTTGGAGCCCCTGCTCACTCCAGGTGTGGGGTCACCCCTGCTCACCCCAGTGTGGGGTTTTGGAGCCCCTGCTCACCCCAGTGTGGGGTTTTGGAGCTCACTCCAGGTGTGGGGTCACCCCTGCTCACCCCAGTGTGGGGTTTTGGAGCCCCTGCACCTGCCAGCCCTGCAGGGTTGGCAGCACCGGGAGCTCCAGAGGTCCCAAGCCCTGGAGGGAGCCATGCCCAGGGCACCTGGGGACAGGGGGACAGGGGGACAGAGGGACAGGGGTGACAGGAGCCCTTGCTCCAGCCTCTGAGGGGTGCCAAGGGGACAGGGGGACAGGGGGGACAGAGGGACAGGGGGACAGAGGGACAGGGGTGACAGGAGCCCTGGCTCCAGCCTCTGAGGGGTGCCAAGGGGACAGGGGGACAGCGGTACAGAGGTGACAGGAGCCCCAGCTCCACCCTCCGAGGAGTGATAGGGTTACAGGGGGACAGGGGTGACACGGGTGACAGGGGTGACAGGGTTACAGGGGTGACAGGGGGACAGGGGTGACAGGAGTGACAGGGTGACAGGGGGACGGGGATTACAGGGGTGACAGCAGGACAAGGGTTACAGGGTGACAGGGGTGACAGGGGTGACAGGGTGACAGGGATGACAGGGGTGACAGGGATGACAGGGATGACAGGGGGACAGGGTTACAGGGGTGACAGGGATGACAGGGGTGACAGGGTGACAGGGGGACAAGGGTTACAGGGTGACAGGGGTGACAGGCGGACAGGGGGACAGGGGTGACAGGAGTGACAGGGGGACAGGGATTACAGGGGTGACAGCAGGACAAGGGTTACAGGGTGACAGGGTTACAGGGGTGACAGGGATGACAGGGATGACAGGGGTGACAGGGTTGGTTACAGGAGTGACAGGGGTGACAGGGGTGACAGGAGTGACAGGGTTACAGGAGTGACAGGGGTGACAGGGGTGACATGGTGACAGGGTGACAGTGTTAAAGGGGTGACAAGGGTGACAGGGTGACAAGGGTTACAAGGGTTACAAGGGTGACAGGAGTGACAGGGGGACAAGGGTTACAAGGGTGACAGGCTGACAGGGGTGACAGGGATGACAGGGGGACAGGGGTGACAGCGGTGACAGGGGTGACAGGGGTGACAGGGTTACAGGGGTGACAGGGGTGACAAGGGTGACAGGGGTGACAGGGGGACAGGGGGACAGGGGTGATGGGGTGACAGGGGTGACAGGGGTGACAGGGTGACAGGGGTGACAGGGGGACGGGGACAGGAGTTACAGGGGTGACAGCGGTGACAGGGGTTACAGGGGTGACAGGGGCACAGGGTTACAGGGGTGACAGGGGTGACAGGGATGACAGGGGGACAAGGGGACAGGGTGACAGGGTTACAGGGGTGACGGGTGACAAGGGTGACAGGGGTGACAGGGGGACAGGGGTGACAGGGGTGACAGGGGTGACAGGGGTGACAAGGGTTACAGGGTGTCAGGGTGACAGGGATGACAGGATTACAGGGTGACAGGAGCCCCAGCTCCACCCTCCGAGTGCCGCTTGCCCCTGCCCTGCAGACAGAACTCGCCCCCAAATCCCAAATCCCAAATCCCAGATCCCAAATCCCAAATCCCAAATCCCAAATCCTGCCCACCTCCCACGCGCCCCCGTCCTGGATGGAAACCAAACCCTGGAACTTTGCACCCATAATCCCCGTGCTGAGCTCCCCCAGCTCCTCAGGCAGGAGCTCCAGGCTGCTCCTGTGCTCGGGGCAGCCAGGCAGGAGCTGAGTGTGAAAAATGTGTATTTTATAATTGGCTTTTCCCAAATATTCAAAGGAATATTGTATGTGTTGTGTTAGGAAGCTGTGCTGTGTTAATTCTCTTAAGTAGTGTGTTAAATATGGTTTTAGGTTATAACTAAATGTTAAAATAGAAACCATGCTATGTATGATACTTTTATAAAGAGATGGCAGCCACAGGACACCTGAATCCTTCAGAGAAAGAGAATTTATTCTCCATTATCAGAAGAAAGGAACTTCTTCCTGCCTCGAAGGAGCTGTCAGGATTCAGAGGAAGAAGCTGACACTGCCCAGCCAGAATCCTGTGTTTGAATGGAATTTATGCATCATGCATGAGGTGTATGAATATGCAACAGGCTGTTGCTTTTAAGGGTTAATCCTCTGTTAACGTGGGTCCTTTTTGGGGCTTATTTTGCCCAGAAAGAGGTACCTGGACGTCCCTAACTCTTTGTTTTTATTGTCTCGTATTGTCCTAATCCAAATTATCCAAATTATTACTGCTCTAATTATATTACTATTTCTATAACCATTTTATTTCCATTAAGCTTCTAAAATTTTAAAAACGAGTGATTGGCGTTTTTCAGACCCAGCCCAACCCTCCTTTTCTGCAGGCTGAGCGCCCCCAGCTCAGCTCCCTCAGCCCCCCTGGCCCTTCCCAGCTCCATTCCTGCCTCTGGAGCTGCTCCAGCCCTTCAGGGTCCTTCTCTGTGAAAAACGCCAATCACTCGTTTTTAAAATTTTTAAAAGTTTAATACTAATAAGATGGTTATAAAAATAGTAATACAATTAGAGTAATAATAATTTGGACAATTTGGATTAGGACAATACGAGACAATAAGTACAAAGAGTTAGGGACAGTCCAGGTACCTCTTTCTGGGCAAAATAAGCCCGAAAAAGGACCCACGTTAACAGAGGATTAACCCTTAAAAGCAACAGCCTGTTGCATATTCATGCACCTCATCCATGGTGCATAAATTCCATTCAAACACAGGATTCTGGCTGGTCATCGTCAACTTCTTCCTCCAAATCCTGACAGCGCCTTCGAGGCGGGAAGAAGTTCCTTTCTTGTGATAATGAGCAATAAATTCTCTTTCTCTGAAAGATTCAGGTGTCCTGTGGCTGCTATCTCGCTGTGAGTCCTTTATTTTTAAAAACAGTCTCCTACATAGCATCGTTTCTATTTTAACAATTTTTATAACCTAAAACCATATTTAACACAGTACTTAAGAGAATTAATACAGCATTACTTTCTAACACAACACATATAACATTCACTTGAATATTTGTGAAAAGCCAATTATAAAACACACGCATTTTTCACAGATGTGTCCCCGCTGTGGGTGACAACACACAGGAGACCCCCAGAGAGGCCCTGAAGACCAAATCCTTGCCCCACCCGGCTGGGAGCAGCTCAGACCTGAGCCCAGGGGTGCCCCTGCTCCCCATTTCCCCCAGGGCAGCCCGAGAGGAGCGGCCCAAGGAGCTGAGCAGGGACCGGGCTGTGCTCCAGCGGCTGCAGCTCCCGGCCATCCACAGCAGGAGCCTCTGGAGCCACAGGGGCTGCAGCCGAGACTCTGCTTAATAGCCCTCAATCAATTTCCCTGCCACAAATTCGCCTAATGGCTTTTTAAAACCTCTTTCAAATCAGCTGCAAGCGCCCTGTGGCAACGAATTCCGCTGCTACCACGCGGAGCACTCAGCCCAGGGAACGGCCAAAGATTTCCCTGCTCTGAGCACTCAGCCCAGGGAACAGCAGAGATTTCCCTGCCCTGAGCACTCAGCCCAGGGAACAGCAGAGATTTCCCTGCTCCGAGCACTCACCTGCAGGAACAGCAGAGATTTCCCTGCTCCGAGCACTCACCTGCAGGAACAGCAGAGATTTCCCTGCTCTGAGCATTCACCTGCAGGAACAGCAGAGATTTCCCTGCTCCGAGCACTCAGCCCAGAAAACAGCAGAGATTTCCCTGCCCTGAGCTCTCACCTGCAGGAACAGCAGAGATTTCCCTGCCCTGAGCACTCACCTGCAGGAACAGCAGAGATTTCCCTGCTCTGAGCTCTCACCTGCAGGAACAGCAGAGATTTCCCTGCTCTGAGCATTCACCTGCAGGAACAGCAGAGATTTCCCTGCTCCGAGCACTCACCTGCAGGAACAGCAGAGATTTCCCTGCTCCGAGCTCTCACCTGCAGGAACAGCAGAGATTTCCCTGCTCTGAGCTCTCACCTGCAGGAACAGCAGAGATTTCCCTGCCCTGAGCACTCAGCCCAGGGAACAGCAGAGATTTCCCTGCTCCAAACACTCAGCCCAGGGAACAGCAGAGATTTCCCTGCTCTGAGCTCTCAGCCCAGAAAACAGCAGAGATTTCCCTGCTCCGAGCACTCACCTGCAGGAACAGCAGAGATTTCCCTGCTCTGAGCATTCACCTGCAGGAACAGCAGAGATTTCCCTGCCCTGAGCACTCACCTGCAGGAACAGCAGAGATTTCCCTGCCCTGAGCACTCACCTGCAGGAACAGCAGAGATTTGCACTCACCTGCAGGAACAGCAGAGATTTCCCTGCTCTGAGCACTCACCTGCAGGAACAGCAGAGATTTCCCTGCTCTGAGCATTCACCTGCAGGAACAGCAGAGATTTCCCTGCTCCCTGTGCTCCACAGCTCCATGGGGCTCCCAACTGCCTCCCTGTGTGCAGTGACACACCTGGGAGGGGCAGGCAGGGCAGGTGAGCTCACCTGTGCTGCCCAGTGAGCGAGGAGGGAGCTGGAGAGGGGAGGTGAGGTCTGGAACAGCCAGGAGCCCCTCCCTGTGCCCTCCCCGTGTGCAGTGACACACCTGGAAGGGGCAGGTGAGCTCTGCTCTGCACTCCCCAGTGATGGAGCAGGGAGCTGCAGAGCAGAGCAGAGCTGTGGGACCCTGAGGAGCCTCTCCCCGTGCCCTCCCTGTGCTCCAGCCCTGCCCAGGTGCTCTCCCAGCTGAGGAACTGGTTCCACCTGTGCACACCCACCTGTGCCACCCCTCCCTGTGCCACCCGAGCCGGCTGTGGAAGCCGAACCACCCAGAAACTGCGGTGGATCAGCAAACTCGGCCCAGACAGTGCTCATCTGCTCATCCCTTTTGGGGGTGCTGGAGGTGCTGAAAAGGCAGCTCCAGGAGGCAGCCATGGCCAGGAGGGGGTCACAGGGGTGCCACCATTGAGAGATGGAGTCAGACATGGCCAGGAGAGGGTCACAGGGGTGGCACCATGGAGAGCTGGAGTCAGCCAAGGCTGGGAGGGGTCACAGGGGTGCCACCATTGAGAGATGGAGTCAACCACGGCCAGGAGGGGGTGACAGGGGTGCCACCAGGAGCCAGGAGCAGTCAGCCATGAGATGTCACAGAGGGGCCATTGAGGCTGGGAGGTGGCCACCATTGAGGCTGGGGTGCCACCATTGAGAACTGGAGTCAGCCAAGGCTGGGAGGGGGTCCCAGGGCTGGCACTGGGGGCTGGAGTGAGTTTGCCATGGCCAGGAGAGGGTCACAGGGGTGCCACCATGGAGAGCTGGAGTCAGACACGGCCAGGAGAGGGTCACAGGGGTCCCATTGAGGCTCAGAGATGGTCCCAGGGAACTGGAGCCAACCGAGGCTGGGAGGGGGTCACAGGGGTGCCATCAGGAGTGGAGTCAGCCGAGGTTGGCAGATCATCACAGCGGTGCCACCATTGAGAGCTGGAGTCACACACAGCCAGGAGGGGTCACAGGGGTGCCATGGAGGCCAGGAGGGGTCACAGGGGTGGCATCGAGGCTGGGAGGGGGTGACAGGGCTGTCATCAGAAGCTGGAGGCAGCCACAGCCAGGAGGGGATCACAGGGGTGCCACCATCGAGATCTGGAGTGAGCCAAGGCTGGGAAGGGTCACAGGGGTGCCATTGAGGCTGGGAAGGGTCTCATGGCTGCCATCAGGAGCTGGAGTGAGTTGGCCATGGCCAGGAGGGGGTCACAGGGGTGGCACTGGGAGCTGGGAGGGGGTCACAGGGCTGACATCAGGAGTGGAGTCAGCCGAGGCTGGCAGATCATCACAGCGATGCCACCATTGAGAGCTGGAGTCACACACAGCCAGGAGGAGGTCACAGGGGTGCCATGGAGGCCAGGAGGGGTCACAGGGGTGGCACTGGGAGCTGGGAGAAGTCAGCCATGGCCAGGAGATGGTCACAAGGGTCCCATCAGGAGCTGGAGTGAGCCACGGCCGGGAGGTGGCCCCGGGGCTGCCAGCGAGGCCGGGAGGTGGCCCCGGGGCTGCCATCGAGGCCGGGAGGTGGCCCCGGGGCTGCCATCGAGGCCGGGAGGTGGCCCCGGGGCTGCCATCGAGGCCGGGAGGTGGCCCCGGGGCTGCCATCAAGGCCGGGAGGTGGCCCCGGGGCGCTGCAGGGGCTCTGGGGATGGGGAAGGTGCCTGGGTGTGGGGCTCGGTTTGTGTTTGGTGACAACATTTCCATCCCTTGGCCTTGAACTCATTCCCAGACTCTGCTGTGATAAGAACCAGGGGCTGGCACCGCTTCCAGCCCCACCTGGCACACAGGGGACCCAGGGGCAGCTCCTGGCACACAGGGGACAAGGTGACCCATCCTGGGAGCTCCTGGCACACAGGGGACAAGGTGACCCAGGGGGGGCTCCTGGCACACAGGGGACAAGGTGACCCAGGGGCAGCTCCTGGCACACAGGGGACAAGGTGACCCACCCTGGGAGCTCCTGGCACACAGGGGACAAGGTGACCCAGGGGGGGCTCCTGGCACACAAGGGACAAGGTGACCCAGGGGGAGCTCCTGGCACACAAGGGACAAGGCGACCCATCCTGGGAGCTCCTGGCACACAGGGGACAAGGTGACCCAGGGGCAGCTCCTGGCACCAGGCACTGGGCTGGAACGGGGGCTGGGGGGCACAGAGGGACCTGGTGGTGGCCCAGGGGGACCTGGTGGTGGCCCAGGGGACTCGGTGGTGGCTTAGCAGGACCTGGTGGTGGCTGAGAAGGACTTCATGGTGGGACAGCAGGACCTGGTGCTGGCCCAGAGGGACATGGTGGTGACCCAGTGAGACCTGGTGGTGGCCCAGCAGGACCTGGTGGTGGCACAGCAGGACCTGGTGGTGGCCCAGAGGGACCTGGTGTTGGCCCTGCAGGACCTGGTGGTGGCCCAGTGAGACCTGGTGGTGGCCCAGTGAGACCTGGTGGTGGCCCAGGGGACTCAGTGGTGGCCCAGCAGGACCCGGTGGTGGCCAAGCAGGACCTGGTGGTGACCCAGTGAGACCTGGTGGTGGCCCAGAAGGACTTCATGGTGGCACAGCAGGACCTGGTGGTGGCCCAGGGGGATCTGGTGGTGACCCAGTGAGACCTGGTGGTGGCCCAGGGGACTCGGTGGTGGCTTAGCAGGACATGATGGTGGCCCAGAAGGACTTCATGGTGGCACAGCAGGACCTGGTGGTGGCCCAGCAGGACCTGGTGGTGGCCCTGCAGGACCCGGTGGTGGCCAAGCAGGACCCGGTGGTGGCCCCCACCAGCACACACCTCCTGCTCCCTTGTCCCGTGCCAGGCCGGGAGGTTGTGGCCATACCTGGCGTGCCCTTCCCGTGTCCCCTCGGTCACCCGGAGCAGCCGCAGCCCAGAGGGGGAGGACGAGCCCGAGCCCCGCCAGGCGCCAGCGCAGCGCGGAAAAAGGGTGGGACGAGGCACGGCCGGGCTAAAAGTAACTGGAGACGGCCAGAAAAAGGAAAAAAAATAACAAAAAACAAACCAAAAATAATCTAACGAGCCAGAGAGCTCCCGGTGGAACGAAAACATCGGCTGGGCGCCGGGTGGGGGCTGGTGCGGAGCTCCCGGGGTGCCCAGGGCCCGGCCAGGGGGTCCCGCAGAGCCCCCGGTACCGGAGCAGGGGCGGCTGCGGGGGACGGGCAGGGAGGGACCCCCGAGATGGGGACAGCGCCGGGCAAGGCAGCCCCAGGGACACGGGACGGGCCCGGGAACGGGGCTCGGAGGGGGGAACGGGAACGGGGCTCGGAGGGGTGGGAAGGGAACGGGGCTCGGAAGGGGGAACGGGAACGGGGCTCGGAGGGGTGGGAAGGGAACGGGGCTCCGAGGGTGGGACGAGCCCCGGGGCCCCGGAGGGGGCAACCGGCGGTTGCTGGGGGGGTGGGGGCAGGACATGGACACGGACACGAACCGGACGGCCCCGGGGCGGGTCGAGCCCGGTGCGGGAGCTGCCGGGGGTGCGGGAGCTGCCGGGGGTGCCGGAGCCCCTCCCGGGGATTCAGGAGCCCCTCCCGGGGATGCCGGGGGTGCGGGAGCCCCTCCCGGGGGTGCGGGAGCTGCCGGGGGTGCGGGAGCCCCTCCCGGCGGGGCGGGGCGTGCGCGGCCGCACGTCCGGAGCGGGGCGGGACGAGACCGGGCCGGCCCCGCACGGCACCGGCGGAGCGCGGCGGGGCTCGGGGCGCTGCGGTGCCGCTCGGCTCCGTTTCGCCGCCTTCGGCTTGGTTCCGTTCGGTTCGCTTCGGTTCGGCGCGCATCAGCTCGGCTCGACGCGGTTCGGAGCGGATCGGGTCGGATTGGATCGGATCTGAGCGGATCGGGTCGGATCTAAGCGGATCAGGTCGGACTCGAGCCCGGCACAGCCGGGCACGGATCGCGGATCGCGGCGGGGATGGCGGTGCCGGAGCCGGACGCGCGGCTGGCGCAGGAGAAGGAGGAGGAGAGCGAGGAGGAGAGCGAGGTGCTGGAGGAGAGTCCCTGCGGCCGCTGGCAGAAGCGCCGCGAGCAGGTGGGAGCCGCGGAACGCCGGGAGACGGGATGGGGATCCCGGGGACGGGGCCACCGGGCCCTGCGGGGCACCGCGAGGGCCGCGGCCGGAGGGCGATGCGGGCAGCGAGTGCCCGGGGGCGGCCGGAGGTGCGGGGAGCCGGGCTCGGTCACGCCTGGCTCGGGTTGTGCCGGTGAGGGAGGCCGAGCTCGCCATGTCACAGCGATTCGTGTCTCGGTGTGGAAAACCGAGCCCGCCGTGTCTCGGTGCGGAAAACCGAGCCCGCCGTGTCTCGGTGTGGAAAACCGAGCCCGCCGTGTCTCGGTGCGGGGAGAGCCGAGCCCGCCGTGTCTCGGTGTGGAAAACCGAGCCCGCCGTGTCTCGGTGCGGGGAGAGCCGAACCCGCCGTGTCTCGGTGTGGAAAACTGAGCCCGCCGTGTCTCGGTGCGGGGAGAGCCGAACCCGCCGTGTCTCGGTGCGGGGAGAGCCGAACCCGCCGTGGCTCGGTGCGGGGAGAGCCGAGCCCGCCGTGGCTCGGTGCGGGGAGAGCCGAGCCCGCCGTGGCTCGGTGCGGGGAGAGCCGAGCCCGCCGTGGCTCGGTGCGGGCTGTGCCGGTGCGGGGACCGGGCTCACGGTGCCCAGGGGCCCGATCTCACCGTGCCCAGGTGCCCCGGGACCCGATCTCACTGTGCCCCGGGACCCGATCTCACCGTGCCCAGGTGCCCCGGGACCCGATCTCACCGTGCCCAGGGACCCAATCTCACCGTGCCCAGGTGCCCCGGGACCCGCTCTCACCGTGCCCAGGGAGCGATCTCACCGTGCCCGGTGCGGCGGCTGCAAGGGCTCAGGTTTCACCGTGCCCTGCTCCGGGGTGTCTGGGGCAGGACTCGGGCTCAGCGTGTCCCGGTACCGGGTTCCGGAGGCCGGGCCCCGGTGTGGGAAGGCCCCGGTGTGGAGAACCGGGCTGTGCCCCGGCTCAGTCCGGGCCCGTCCCGCGGCCCCGGTTCCGGTGGGACCGGCCGTGCGGGCAGTCGGTAACCGCCCCGCGGGGCTCCCGGAGGGTTCTGCCGGTCTGAGTCCCGGAGCCGTGCCCGGTGCCAGCCCCACAGGTGGCGGAACGGTGACCCCGGAGCTGCTGCGGGAGCGAGGCCGTGCCGGTCACCGGTGCGGTGTCGGGGCTGCCCCCAGAGCCCACCCCGGGGCTGGAGAGCGCCGTTCCTCCTCTCCAGAGAAGGGGGCAGCTCATCCTCCTGTGCCAGGCTGCAGCACCAGGAGTGCCTCCCCAAAAACGGGGCTGGAGCCACCCTGTCCCTGTCAGGGCCCCCAGAACAGGGAGCAGAGCTGGGGGGTGAGTCCTGGCCCCAGGCGGGGGCTGGGGGACGGACACGGGGCTGGGGGACAGACAGACCATAGGCACTGCTGGAGCCTGGAGGGGAAAGGCCCATCCAAGGCCAGACCCTTTATCTGCCGCTTATCTCCCCTGTCCCCGAGGCCAGACCCTTTATCTGCCGCTTATCTCCCCTGTCCCCGAGGCCAGACCCTTTATCTGCCTCTTATCTCTCCTGTCCCCGAGGCCAGACCCTTTATCTGCCCCTTATCTCCCCCGTCCCGGTAAAGGACCCGGCCCCAGCGCTCAGCTCAGCCCAGGCCTGAATCTCCCGGCCTGAATTCCCAGGCTGGGCTTTGCTGAGAAGCTGATCACAGCTCCTGGCTGATAAATCAAATCCTCCTGGCTGATCGCAGCTCCAGGCTGATCACAGCTCCTGGCTGATCACAGCTCCAGGCTGATCACTGTTCCTGGCTGATCCCTGCTCCTGGGGCTGATCCCTGCTCCTGACTGATCCCTGCTCCTGGGGCTGATCCCTGCTCCAGGCTGATCACAGCTCCTGGCTGATCATTCCTCCTGGCTGATAACTCAAATCCTCCTGGCTGATCACAGCTCCAGGCTGATCCCAGCTCCTGGGGCTGATCCCAGCTCCTGGGGCTGATCACAGCTCCTGGCTGATCCCAGCTCCTGGCTGATCATTCCTCCTGGCTGATCCCTGCTCCTGGGGCTGATCCCTGCTCCTGGGGCTGATCCCTGCTCCTGGCTGATCCCTGCTCCTGGTTGATCCCTGCTCCAGGCTGATCACAGCTCCTGGCTGATCACAGCTCCTGGCTGATCATTCCTCCTGGCTGATAACTCAAATCCTCCTGGCTGATCACAGCTCCTGGCTGATCACAGCTCCAGGCTGATCACAGCTCCTGGTTGATAATTCCTCCTGGCTGATCATTCCTCCTGGCTGATCCCTGCTCCTGGGGCTGATCCCTGCTCCTGGCTGATCCCAGCTCCTGGGGCTGATCCCAGCTCCTGGGGCTGATCACAGCTCCTGGGGCTGATAACTCAAATCCTCCTGGCTGATTCCTGCTCCTGGCTGGTAATTCCTCCTGGCTGATCACAGCTCCTGGCCGATAATTCCTCCTGGCTGGTAATTCCTCCTGGCCAATAAGCTGCTCTGTCCCTCGGTGCTGCCAGGTGCTTCCACACCCCCTTGCCCCCGTTCCTGTTCCCTCCCCCTCTCTGGAAAACACCTTCCCCACACCACAGGTCAATGGGGCCTGCCCCTGCCCCTGCCCCTCGTGAAATGGAGAATATCGAGGAGCTGGAGCACGTTCAGAGACAGGAATGGAGCTGGGCAGGGGCTCAGCCTGGAGCAGAGGAGGCTCAGAGGGCCCTTGTGGCTCTGCACAGCTCCTGCCAGGAGGGCACAGCCGGGGGGATTTGGGATCTGATCCCAGGAACAGGGACAGGAGCAGAGGGAACGGCCTCAGGCTGGGCCAGGGGAGCTCAGGGTGGGATATTGGGGAAATTCCTTCAGTCTGCTCTGGCCAAACAGCAACCTTTAATGGTGAGGATTTCAATGCCAGTGACATTTATTGGTGAGGATTTCAATGCCAGTGATGTTTCATGGTGAGGATTTCAATGCCAAACAAACAGTGACATTTATTGGTGAGGATTTCAGTGCCAGTGATGTTTCATGGTGAGGATTTCCATGCCAACCATGTTTCATGGTGAGGATTTCATTGCCAAACAGTGACATTTATTGGTGAGGATTTCAGTGCCAGTGGTGTTTAATGGTGAGGATTTTGAAGTTGAATGGTGAGGATTTCAATGTTGAATGGTGAGGATTTCAATGTCAGTGGTATTTAATGGTGAGGATCTCAATGCCAGTGATGTTTCATGGTGAGGATTTCAATGCCAAACAAACAGTGACATTTATTGGTGAGGATTTCAATGCCAGTGGTGTTTAATGGTGAGGATTTCAATGCCAAACAGTGACATTTATTGATGAGGATTTCAATGTCAGTGGTGTTTAATGGTGAGGATTTCAATGCCAACCATGTTTAATGGTGAGGATTTTAATGCCAGTGATGTTTCATGGTGAGGATTTCAATGCCAAACAGACACACTTAATGGTGAGGATTTCAATGCCAAACAAACAGTGACATTTATTGGTGAGGATTTCAATGTTTAATTGAAATTGCCAAACAGTGACATTTATTGGTAAGGATTTGAATGCCAACCATGTTTAATGGTGAGGATTTCAATGCCAGCCGTGTTTAATGGTGAGGATTTCAATGCCAAACAAACAATGATATTTATTGGTGAGGATTTCAATGCCAGCCATGTTTCATGGTGAGGATTTCAATGCCAGTGGTGTTTATTGAGGATTTCCATGCTGATTTATGCAGGACCTTTCTGGAGCGGTGCTGCCATGCCCAGACCTAGCCCGGGGTGGGGTGGGGGGGTTCATCCTCCTGTGCAGGTGTGGGACAGGTGGGAACCCCCAGAGCCGTCTCCACACCAGTGCTTTGGGTCCCGGTGCTCTCCATCCCCGGGGCTCTTCCAGCTGGAGCAGGGAAGGGTGGGATGTGCTGCTGAGGGGTGGGAAGGGTGGGATGTGCTTCTGAGGGGTGGGAAGGGTGGGATGTGCTGCTGAGGGGTGGGAAGGGTGGGATGGCCTTCCCTGGGCATCACAGCTGCTCCAGGAGAGGGCAGGAATGCTCCTGATCGCCGGCTGGAGGAAGTTTGTGCAGGAGCTGTGCAGGTTCCCAGGTGTTTGTGATGTGCAGATTCACAGGGGTTTGTTTGTGCAGATTCATAGGTGTTGGGGAAGATGAAACAGGAAAAGCCTTATCAATGTGATTGTCTGGCAAAAGATTTTGAGAATATGGAAACTATCAGCGAGATTGAAATGAAAGCAAGCTTTGAGATCCCTCAGTTACTGAACAACTGGAAAACAATGGTGTGGCCAGCTGAAGGTGATCCCCTTTTGATGGAACAACACCCTCTGCTTGCAGACAGGCCCAAGGGTCAGAGCAGACCCTGCCAGCTTGGCAGGAGGGCCCAAAGAGGAGTTTTTAGGGTTTAAAATGTAACACAGTGTGGGAATGTAGTGATTCTTATAGGCTGTATGGAAATGCTGTAGGATTTGTATCTTGTACTGGATTGGTAAGTGAGAATCAGAATATTCAACACAGAAGAAGATTTATTGTATTGTAATGGGAACTTTGCTCTCTTGCCTTTTACTCTCTTACCCCTTTTGCTCTCCTGTGCTTTTGCTCTCTTTCCCTCTCACCCTCTCTCCCCTCTCTTCTCTCAGCCCTGCTCTGAGCTGTGCCTGGCAGCTCCAGCAGGGCCCTGCCCCAGGCCCTTTGCAATAAACCCCAAGTTCCTGACCTGGCTCCAGAGATCTCTCATCTCCGTCTGTCCCAACCGTGCTACCCCCTACACACAGGTGTTTGAGCAAATTCCCAGGTGTTTGTGCAGATTCCCAGGTGTTTGTGCAGATTCCGAGGTGTTCGTGATGTGCTGATTCCCAGATGTTTGTGCAGGTTCACAGATGGATGTTTGCGCAGATGCCCAGATGTTTGCGCAGATTCCCAGGTGTTTGCGCAGATTCCCAGGTGTTTGTGCAGATGCCCAGGTGTTTGCGCAGATTCCCAGGTGTTTGTGCAGATTCCCAGATGATGTTTGTGCG